GTGCAGACGGGAGAGCTGAGCTCCAGGCCTCGCTGACCACGGCACCAACCGGAGACTCAAGGCAGATGCCGGATCACAAGCTCCCCCAAACATCCCCTTTCCTCGGTAAGCTCTGACGTTCCCGAGGGCCTCAGCCTCAGAAAATGAAACGGAGCGCGTTGTGGAACCGATCCATTGGGTGCCGTGCAGGCGGCGAGGACGTGGGATGCCTTTGCAGTCTTTAACAGCAGCCAGAGATCTTAAACTCACCGTGAATAATTAACAGCAGACACATCCCCAGTCACAGACACAGGCGTTATCTCCGCTAATTCTTCTTTCTTCAGCTCCTGATCGGAGCTGCCCAGATTAAACCGCGACGCGACCGTGGCTGAGAAGGGACCGAGAGGCCGCACGCTGCCCTCACGCCCACCGCAGCGCCGCTCTGCAACGGGACGAAGGAGCCACACGGCAACCGGAGCGCCCGGGAGGAGCCCGCAGCAGCTAGTGGGGACAAAAAGCACACATGGCCTTCACGAACATGAACTGAGCTTTGGGAAAGCTCAGAAAGGGGAAACGCTCTGCAGGAATAACGCGCCGCTCTGGATCAGCTCCCTGGGTGTCTTTAGATCACAAAAGCAGCAGTTCCCAGAAGCACAAGTCCCAGCATCCCTTAAATCAGTCATCCTGAAGTCTCCTGGTCAGGAAACTGCAGGAGGCAGGGCTCTTTTCTAGGCAAATTCAAAATTTATTTGGATTTTAAGAATTTATTTGCACCCTGGCCACTATCTTTCAGTTAAAAGCTCGGTTTTGTTCCAAGTTATCTCATAAGCTTCAGAACCAGTATCTATTATTAACAAGCATGTGAGCTGCACATACGTTAACATCACACTGAGACACAGACGTTGTGACCAAAATTATCAGGACGATTCTATCAACTGAGAAGAAAACAGTGTTCTGTGTTCAACACGAAAGCGCATCATCAGCACCGCGCACGAAGCCAAGCACGCAGAAGAGCACTGCAATATTAATATGCATTACCTGCCAACGCTAACACGCCTCCTCCTGAGGAAGGTGACACTGCTGTGTTAATCAGAGCAGACTTTGACCACGCACATTTCACTTGTGGACAAGGATGAGGCACACAACTGCGGCTAAGATGCCTTCTAAAGGTCCTTGACTTCTGTATCAACCAGGGAACCAACATGTAAGCTTAAAACATCTACTACATTTGTGTCGGTCTTTACCATTTAAGAGTACTAAATATTAAAATTAACCTCCTTCCAATTAACTTTTTCTTCCATTTGTAAAACGGCAAGGGATTGTAAAAAGAAATAAAAATAAAAATAAAAAAAAAGTCATTTTATAACAGTCTTGAAACAAATATATTCTCTACATTAAGGCAGAAATGCAGGGAAAAAAATCAAAGTTGATTATTTATTTATAATGAAAAATAATCATTTCAAGACCCATATAATTTTTAAGAAGTCAGATGAGTTTTACAAATATTCTTGCATTCAGTGGTAGTACTTTAGTACTTCCTCACTTAGACAATAAAGATAATCAAACAATTTCGAGACCCATATCGGAGTGTCTTTATAAATTTATCAAAGCAGTAAATTGAGAAGTATGTTTCACTACCACCTGCCTGAGGTCGAAGAGGAAATCAAACATCTGACAAAAACATTCATAAAAAGTGGGAATCATTTGTGCACAAAATGAGTTCTGTTATTGCTTTAAACAGATCTGAAATAAGTCCATAATTTCCTTAATGGCTCCCCAGCAGTATTTGCTGTTCTATTCCCTTACTGGTTGCTTTAACTTAGGGGAGACCTGAGGGCTAAATCATCAATATTTTAATAGGTATATCTTTAATATATTTATATCTATAATTTTGAAGAGACAGGGAAAAAGGAACAGAAAAAAAATAAAAGATGCTCTCAACTTCAAAACTTAATCCAGAAAAATTGAGAAAAACCGAGAAAAAGCGAACACGGGCGGAGCAGCAAGAGCGGTACGAGGCTGGAGCAGCCCTAGGGATGCCGGGGCAATTCCAGGGAGATTTGGTGGGACTGCCACATTCCGCGTGCCTGCAGCTGCTTGGGAACACAGCAGAGCCAGGAGCACCGCCGGGGTGTTCTGTTCTCTGCTCATTTGTTTTCTGGATTTAACACACAAACCTCGTTTTACCCTGTGTGCTGCTCCAGGGTGCAGACGCTCAGGGGAAGTGATGAGGGAAGGAAGTATCAATTGGGGCTGGCTTGGGGGAGAAGGGAGAGGGTAAGGCATTTAACAGCAAGAATACAGTGCAATCAAATTAAACCTTAAAGAACGGAAAGAAAAATTGTAAAATAGCGTGGAGTTGGGGAAAAATTACCTTCCATTAAGCTTCATAGCAAATCTCCCTGTTGCAGTTTTACAGAAATTAAGAAAACTATTAATTTACCTGATTTCACCAGAACTACAGGAATTTCCATCATTAAAACAGTAATTCTTTAGGACACTGAATTATAATTTTCCCAAAACAATTAATGGAATACAAGTAGAGCCTTGCAAACCTTTGCTTCTAGCCGAGGGCTAGCCGATTTTTAAACAAGCTAAAGTTACATTGCAGTAGCCAAATAAAACTACCCCATCCTTTGCACATAACCGTCCTGTAAAAATCGCTAATTGCTCCACGCACACGGGGCTATTTCAGCTAGCTGCTATTCGACACACACTTCACACAGTACACGACAAAGCTGCTTGTTTGCAGAGTTTGGAGTTATTTCTGCGTGGCTCAAGTGGGAAAGCAGGGGGAATGCTGGTTCCCTTTGCTCTCGGCAGCTTGAACTTTTCGCTTTAGGAGATTTTTCTTCCCCATGGTACATTAGCTCTCTGCCAACCTCAGCCCTTGCTCCCTCTCCCCAAAGCATTTCAAACGCCATCTAACACGGGGAACCAAGGGCATGGAAATAACTCCTTGAAAGAAAAAAAAAGTGTTTTATATTGAAAAAAGTGTTTTATGTAAAACCTGCAGCTACACAACATTTCCCCAGCATTATCCAACCAAGAACGACACATTGGCATCGGGCTATTACAAAGACAAAACCCCACAGCCCATACGGACACATGTACGCAAGCCCCAAGCATTCAAACACTTACCAATGCCCACTATCACGTCTCCCACTTCCCAAGTTTCCTGCTAACGCACAATTCCCACACCCAAATATGGCAGCATCTTCATTTAGGAAGTGGAAAACCTGACAAGCTTTTCCCAAATAACCATAACTTCTTTTCTGAGCTTACTGCCTCTTACAAGAGCCACTCTTCTGGCTCTCTGATCATACTTCGTATCACACACCATTAAGTTCAAGACCCTTATTTTGGCTTTCATGGACTTGTTCTTTTATTTCTTTGTTAATTAAGGAACTTCTCTTGGATTTGTTTTCCAAGACACCAACTTTAGCAGCCACTTGACTGCATCCACAACATCCACAATTATGAAACCATCTAATGACACTTTCTACACTTGAAATTCCTGGAGGTAAAAATCTCTTCTGAGGATTCTGACAGCATCCTAAAATATCTTTTCTGAATTTGTCCACACTGAGTTAACCCCTTTTTCCATTAATCACTATTCTGTACTATCCTTAAAGGCTCTGATTATAGTCACAGGCAGACTTTCCATATATGCAAACCTCCCCATTCTCCCAGGAAGAACCACCAGCTGTTTATTCTCTTAAATCTCACTTTTTTTTTTTTTTGAGGCATTCCAAAGAAATCTGAAGCACAAGTATGGCTTTAATTAAAAGCAACAAAGGCTCCTTGCCACAGACTACACACAAGCACCACAGATTAATTCAGATATCCTACAGCCCTTCTGCTGGCACCTAAAGGTAGCGCTCTGCGCCAGCGTTTTTCCTGGCATCACCTCTTCAGGGATGACACACGGGGCAATTTTATTCCATCTGCCAGCAGCAGGGATCCTGTTGCCTGTTGCTGCCTCTCACAATAAGCAGTTTTGCACCTTTGTCACATGCAGCGGTGTTTGATGGCACATCACACACACTGTTTTACCTGCAGTGCCTGTCCTCTCACATTTGCAAGCTTTGTGCTTACACCAGAACTGTATCTGTGACCATCATACGGCAGATTTGAGACCAGCACTGTGCTCCCACTGAAAGGTGGATCTGAGCAGCTGTTTGTGCGCTGACCAGCGTTAGCTTTCAGTTGGCCTCCTACTGTTGGCAACTAGAAAAGTTTCTAGCGCTTTCATTCTCATCATACCATGTGGAGATGGTCTCATTCTGCTTTTCGCAAGTTTTCTTATATGCTATTTACATCAGAGAGACCTTTTACTTCAGTCTGAATGAAGATGTTTATTACCAACATTTTAAAATGTCTCTGTGTTCTGCTTCCACTAAAATATGATCAAGCTCAGTCACTATTGTCTAAAATCTTGGCAGTTATTTACATTTTCTCCATAGCTCAAAACAACTTAAACCTTTTTCTTTTTTTATTCTATCAACATGGACTGCTCTAACATCTATTTTTCATGTAAATACTGCTCTTTATTGCAAATGAACTTACATGAAGCACATTAAACACAAGTGGTAGAACAGGCAGCAGCAGCATCTAAACATTTATCAAAACTTGCTCTAAAAACTTGTGTGGAGTAAGTAAATCCTCAGAAAACCACCTAGTGCATCCTATGATTTACGGTTGGAATACCACAGGAATTAGCACTTTGATAGCTTTGTTGCTTTTTGGTTTTGATTGTTTGTTTCAATGCAATACAGTCTTTGTATACCATATTAGGCACATTTGTACAACGCCCCAAATAACGGGTTTTCAACTCTAGCTGTAGCATCGGGACACAAAACTAGCACTACAGCTAGTAAAAGCAAGAAAAGTGTGTTTATGTGCATACTTCTAGCTTTTGTTGAGCAAAACCAGACTGCACTCCCAACTATGAACACAAGTAATGGGTTGGACGTACAGAATTTTTAGAATTAAAATCAATGTGTTTATAGTCGACATACCTGCTCCTTGGAAGAAACATAGACTCTTTAATGAAGACTGAACCAGACAGCAGGATGTACCAACAGGTTCCAATATCGTCAGGGCTGGAAGGAAGAGAAAAAAAGAAAAAGAGGTAAGACACTCGATTTAAGGGGCTGATAGGACTAGCAGATCTCCAGTAGCAAAAGCAGCACAAAGAGCCAGAAACTCTCAAAGCTGTGGAAGAAAGCTACTGTTCCATCATTTAATGGGAAAAAAATAAACCTTTAATCATTGTAGTTTCCACCTAAAACCACACACATTGCTAGAATGCCTCGTAACATTTACTTCACCTTAAAAAAAAAAAAAAAAGAAAAAAAAGAAAAAAAGAAAAAAACAGATCTATCCATCTGGTAGTAACATGGAAGTGCAATGAATGGTAACGGAACCGAGTTAGGAGGCAACCACGCTACGCTGGGGCGCCGTGTGCTGCTGAATCCTTCCCTTCCCTCTTCCCAAGCAGGGCTGCAGCAGCTTCCCCTGCACACACCGGGCTCCCTCCCGATTCTAGACATCATCTGCCTCCTCTCCCTTTCTTCAGCAAAGGATTATGCCTCTTGGCATCCTTCCACCTTCCCCAAAAAGCAGAAGAGCACTGAACACATTTACAGTCTGCACCAGATTTGCAGCCAGCTTTGCTGCTGCTCACTACCCATCTCTTGCTTCTTTCCATCACGAGGAAAGAAGATCCCCATTAAAGGGAGATTTTCTTCTCCCTCCTCTCATCCTAGAGCACGAGGGTGTGGATGCCGGTTGCACCTGCATCCCTCTGCCACCCAAGCCCAGTTCCTTGTGCTGTAAGTGCCGATGTTTCTCCCCAAGTAGCCTGAAACCCTTTTAACAGGCTCCAACTCTCTTCTTCGATAACTTCGAGTAATGTTTAGACAGGGAAAGAAACTTGTTTAAGGTCCCTGGAAGCAGCCACAGCAGAAGCCCGTGCTATTCTGACCGACGTGGCCATTCAGACTCGTGCATGCACTACGCCAGGTTCTACCAGTCCTCCTGCTCCTTGCAAAGCAGCTCAGGAACAGTAGACTTGAACCCAACCTGCACCCGCACCAGCATCCTTATCCCAACGCACGTACCCGCTGACACTCTCGGAGATGCAGATGGCCCAATTAATCTGCAGCACCTTCCTTTTTTCAAATTACATGTCTCAAGTCCTTAGCAACAATCAGTTCCAACTCCAAGCAAGAGCAGCCCACGTCTCGTAGCAGACAATGACAGCCTAGTATTTAAACCCGATGCTAAAGCTCTGCAGCACTCGTGCAGCCAGCAGCACGCTGCTGAGTCCATGGGCAAAGCCTGGAGAGCACCCACCGGGCACAGGGCCTTCTCCAAGCAAGAGCAGCGGCTCTGCAGCACCCACTGCGCTGCAGGAAAGACGAGGGGGGCAAGAGAGGGCTGGAAGTAAAACAGCTGAAAGTAAAAAACAAACCGCCACATGTAGAAAAGAAAATACTTCTATTTCACGCTTTAATACCACCATGAGAGAAAGGATAGCCATCAGAAACACGGAGGATTGGTAGAGGGCATTACGACTGCAGCCTACAACCATGGGCACAAGAAGGGATCCAAACAACACACGTTTGTTTCTATTAGGTCTGTGACCAAAGTGGCCAAGCAAATACAGCACTTAAGACTGCAGACACCAGCAAGTCTTTGGTTTTAAATAGATATGCTCTAAAAAGGGAGTGCACGGAGAGTAAATACCTGGAGAACAAACCCATGAATGTGAAAAGCACTTCAGACAACACATCATGCTTACTATGGATTTAGTAACGTGAAGTTTTACCCAGCACCCATACTTAAAGCTTTTTATGCTTTTGCTGATATACAAATCCACGTTAGCATGCTGTCCTTGCAAGAAGTCAGCAGTACTTGAACATAGGGTTATGCTGTAGTCTTTCATGCCACACTGAATTGCACTGAAGCTGTTGTCCTTACAAATTACAGTCGAGCTTGTCTCGTCTTTCTCACTGTTTCTGCTTGAAAATAAAGCTCCTCTCACCTACGCCTTACTTTGGAGAGAAGAGTGACATCTTCGTTGATGGCTCATGGCCAATACTGTGGGATGGTGCTTTAATTACAAACTCGAGTGTTTATGTTACTTAAGTGTGCATGTACTAGCCCCCAGAGCCGAGCTCTTATTATAGTGCCTTCAAGCTTATGTGCCTTCACCAAAACTGTTTTAATGTCAAAATATAGGTTAAATTTAACGCAAATCTGTAAAGGAGCTCTGTGCTGAGCTGCACAAGGCAGGGAGGCACAGGGCACGGAAGAGGGACACTGGGCTCACCAGGGAAAGCTTGGTGTCTTCCAAGGAAGAGCTCAAGCAATGCTGCTTTACACCAACGATATAAAGCGTATTTTCTCCTCCTTTATGCAGTCACTAGCAAATGAGTCAGTAACTTTGCAGCCAGCAGAACTGAGACGACCAACAACTGTGATTTACATAACGAAGCGCACGAGGCCGCCTTTGTGCGGTGCTATTTACATCCCTGCTGCTCACGTGGAGCTGCACCAGGCTCATCCCGCTTGCTCCTCTAGAAAAAACATCAACGTGGGGCATAAACAGAGCAGCGAGTTCAAGAGATCAACTCCAGAAAACCTGCCACCTGGGGTGAAAAATATTGCTCTCAGAAGCATAAACATGCACTTCAGTTAAGTCACATCTTCAGACATTCTTTCCCCAAAATTCATCCTGAAACAGCCCACGCTGAGGAACAGTCTGCCCTAAAAACAAGAGGACATGGGAAAAAACAGAACCCATCTTAAAAACCACATGCATAGAAGATGCATTCCTTTCCTCAGCACCACCCCAAAATAACACAAGACTTCGATACAGTTCTTTTATGTGAAGACATATTCAACTCCCACACTCCCCAACTCTTGCTACACTTTCATTCGTTTAGAATTAAAGTTTTAAGAGCAAAGCCACTTTGGCAGCCAAATTCTTCTTCTTTCGTTAGCGCTGTTATGCAAACTGTGTAGAATTCTTTTAAAGACAGAGGACTTTTCACAATACTCTCCATGCATCAGGTGGTTTTCAATTAATTCTGCATTTGACATTCATATAACTACAGCACATCTCACATTCCTCAGGACTTTTGTGCCTGTAACGAACCGTGGAAGAAACGACACCACAAGCTATACTGAACTACAAAGGCACTTCTTCAAGCCACATAAGGGCTCACGCAAATACCATATTATACATCTAAAAGGGTTTCTTTGCAATCACATATTACACTTTATTAAAAAGCATTCGTTCTAGAGTGTGAATCTAAACCTAACCCTGAAACTGGAGTTGCTGGAATACTGCAAACCACCAGCAGTCTGCAAAGGTGTCTACAAACTGCTCGTCCTTCCAGAAATGCTTCCCGTGAGGGGGATCACCACAGAAAACCCTTGGAAGGGGCCCGTTTGGGAAGGGAGCACACACCTGGCCGGGCTTGGGGACGGGCATCACCTGCGTGTCCGCAGGCACCTCCCCAGCTAGCAGGAGCAGGATGGACACGGGTGCCCCTGCTCATCCTCAAGGGCCTTCCCGGCCTTCCCCTGCCCTGCCAGGGTGCAGGAGATGCTGGAACTCCGGACAGCTGCTGGCCTCTCCAGCAGATCTCCACAAGTGCTCCCTGCAGCGAGACACCTTCTCACCTGTTTGCCCCCAGGGATGGAACACACGGCCTCCAATATTCAAGAGCAGAGCAAGTGCCCTTTGGCCATGCCCATAATCCCAAGCCCAACTCAGCCACTGGGTCATTCTGGGTCTTCATGGGGGTGAAATTCAGGGCTCTAAGTTACACTGCTCACTCAGTACAGCACAGCTGTCTGCTTCCAGAGCTAGAGAAAGCGAGATTTATCACCAAGAAAAATGACACAGAGAAGCACGAGAAGTTCAACCCCAAAGCCCCATCTCAAAGGGCGCTCAAAAAGATTCATTTAGTACATACAGCCATCGTGGTCGGCTCTAGCAAACCTAACAAAAATCTCAGAGAATCCTCGGTGACACGGATTTCCATCCCAGCTGTGCAAAACGAGGGGACTAGGGGGACGTTCAGGCCACAGGAGGCCACAATCTTCCCTTGTGCCAACGCACCAAATTCAGACTTCGCCCATAAACCCACTAGAAAACATTCAGCTGCAGTGGAGGGGAAAGAGGCTAAATATGAAGAGCAAGAAAACCCTCTCTGCTAGAAATCTTGAGATAAGCTTCTTATTCTATGAAGCCAAGATTCAACCTTGTCCTCCTGCAGCTTCTATGATGGATGCAGTTACCTCCTGGTGAACTTCTCAGCATACCCAAATCTACCCGCAGTACCCCAAAAAAGTCAATATTGAGTAGTTATGTAGACTTTATTCGTAATTTCCCCTTAATTCAGTAAGCCAGTCTTACCAAATTTACATAATCCGACTTTAAATCTTGAGCGTTATATTTCATGACTCTTCTGCAAGTAAGGGATTTCCTGAGGAATCTACACTTAATTTCCCAGAATATACAAAGCCGTAATTTATGGAAATTGGGGAACTAGAAAAGGAAATCCAGAGACTGGATTTTGATGTCTTCCCATTACACACTTCCCTCCCTGGCTTCCTTGACGTAGTCCTTTTTACGCAACTCCAACCTGCAGCCGGACAGCAGACTTCTTACAGCTTTAAAGCTTGAGTTAAACCGACCTTGAAAACTTCAGTGAGAACTTCAAAAGCAACTTTTTGTAGCAGTCAAACTGCTGCACTTGGAAACTCTACAATGATTTACCAGTCTGATGACACCACAAGGCTATCACTGCCAGTAAGGCCAGACAGTATGGTAAGATTTAGGCTTTACGCTTTCCAGCGTATCACTGCGCCTTGGGGTTTCAGAGCTGATCAAAGTTAAGAGATCACTAATCACTTGTAAAGACCCGAATTAATAAATGGAACAAAGTCAAACTCCAGATTGCCAAGGTCCAAGAGATTTGTGGGCTCTGTCCTCACCACCCTCTTCACACTGCACACTATTTATTCCACTGAAAACTGGAGCTGTTTATTCCCAGATCCTCAAGGAGCTGCATATATACTACTT